GGATTTTGTCCCTTTAAATATTTTGTGTCAAGATATTTTTGAATATGTTTTATATCGCAAGCTGTTTCCTTACAACCCCCAAAGGGCTATAAGGTTGGAAACCTGTTATCACTCTGCTTGCTTGCTCCCATCCCTTAACCATCTTAGCCGTAAGATGACCTTGCCAGCCCCATACAATTCTCCATGTCTAACTAGTGCTTTCAACAAATTATTTGTGCCCTGCTCATCTATTAGTACAACAGAGATCCCTTTTGTTGTCTTAACCACAGCCAGACATTGTGTTGATGGCTTTGGGTTTCCATTTACTCCAGAGTATCTCACAGCAGCTAATAAATATTATGGCAGAGGAAGAAGAAAGGGAGTAAGGACTCCCCATTTAGACGTAAATGAGTCACTGAGATCTTTGATTTGAGTCTGCAAAAGAGAGAAGGAAAGACAGGGGTTGAGTGGAGGGAGGGCAGAGCCTGGATAACGCTGTCCTCGCATCTCTCCTGGACGCAGAGTCCCCTGAGCGGTCCCGGCACTCATGCCAGCACAGGGAGATACACCTTCTTATAACACTAACCGCTTGCGTGACTGGATAGCTAACTAATAAAAGCAGGGCCTTGCTCTCATTAAAAGTCTCACCTAATTTTTTGATCTTCCAATTTGCTTTAGACACACAGGCCTCAATCAGTACAAATATATATCTGTACACGTCTAATACAAATACTGGTCATTTCTTTTTACTGTCCTGACCAATTCTGAAAGATATTGTTTGGAGGGCATCCACATGGCTATTATGGCAACTAACAGAAAAATAAACAGCAGATCATCTCCCATCACTTCTCCATGTGCAAGTCCCACAAAAGCAGACGTCCATTCTACATGTTGCCAACGTACGACACACATGCACACTGCATGCAGAGAGGGCTTACAGTGAGGCAAGGAAGTGATTTACTCTATTTCAAGCATTGTGTACTTCAGTAAATGTCTGAAAGGATGTGGGAAATCTAACCCAAGCCTCCTCTCCCGACCTGGCAGTGCAGCTCTCCTTGCTCGAGGGGGCCGCGGGGCTGCCTGTTTCCCTGTCAGAACAACTCTTTCCTCTCACAACGATTTCAGGTTACTGTGGCTGCTGGCAGTGACCAACAGGGTCCTGCTGCTCGAAACCTATATTGTTAGAGAAACTCAGGCGCTTGTACCATAAATGCCAGTTCAGGCATGTTAGTAAGTAACAGTGATAGGAACAGCCTCAGAAAGTCTATGCAGAGCAAAGCGCCTCTGAAAACAGCAGGCAGGATCTTCCTCTCCACACATGCACTGCCAGCGAGCAGTGATAACGCTGTCACGGCCTAACTGCTAAGCTGTCACCAGGCCTTACTGACGGCGATCTCTGCACAACAGCACATCCAGCAACCTGAGCCCAGGGCCCATCCTGGGCTCCCCCTGGTGCAGCGATGTCTGTGGGTGAGAATTCATTTTCATACAAGGGAACGACGCGGCCCCGTGCCCCATCGGTCTGGACTGAGCTCTCCTCCCTCATTCCCTCACGGTTACCACAGCTCGCAGGCGGCCTTCAGAACACAGAGTAGCAGAGACACGGTCTCAAACACTGTACTAGGGAACAGTCAAGTTAGATGGAGCCCTGCTTTTTACATTGTCATGCTGAGGTTTAGCAAAAACTAAACTTACTCCTCACAATTTTATCTGTTTGTTATGACCACAAATACAGAGAAGTCAAAGGGAAGTGGATGTGATCACGCGCCCTCTGTAAAGGTGACAGTCACAGTTTCTTCACAGTAAAGCAGCTTCGTGCTAATTTTGCTGCTAACGTTGCTTGGCTCCGCGATAAGTTTTCCTCTCTCAAAAGGAAAGCCGCAGCAGCTGGCAGCCAACGTGCTTTTGGCATCGACTGAATTCTACAAACTATTTGCTAAGGGAGGTTTTCAATCAGTTGGCTGGATTTCACCGAGGCCCCTGCAGAATGGGCTCTTGTATCACAGGGATACTGCAATACAGTAGAAAGAGGTAAGATAAAAAGTGTTAGATTATTAACACATCTTCCTGAACAGATGGCAAGCCATATGCCCCAAAAGAATTAAGGAAAAATCTCTTTTAACAATTTACACTTTTATTTCATTTGATCTTCAGCTTCCTGTTTTGAGGGGGATTATATGCAATCCATTGGCAATCCCAGCATCATGGTCTTTACCCATATAGCTCTACTCAGGTGACAACAGACAAAACATCTAGATTTCTGGATGAAGATCTGTCTCTGTGATGAGCACAGTTATATGTGTACATATAGGCATCGCAGTGTTTACACTTGGCCTCTGGGCTGCCAGTCCTGCTGACCCATTAGGTCACTGCTATGGGTTGGCACAATATCCACATGCTGCTGTTGGACAAAAGTCCGCAATAGGCTGCAGAGAACTCAGTTGGCCATGGGACCAAGACACAAAGCAAACATAAACCAACAGGTAATTGACAGGTAATTGCTTTATATATATATATATATATATATATATATATATATAAAATATACTATGTAATAGTATATATATATACTATATATATGTAGTTTAGCAACTTCAGTAGTGTCCTGATGGACGGAACTGAGTGCACTCTCAGCAAGTTTGCTGATGATATGAAACTAGGAGAAGGAGCTGATAACACCAAAGGGTTGTGCTGCCATTCAGAGGAACCTCAAAAGATTGGAGAAATGAGCAGAGAGGAACCTCAAGGAGTGCAGCAAAGGGAAGTGCAAAGTCCTGCCCCTGGGGAAGGGGCAGTCGGTCCCAATGCACCAGGACAGGCCAGGGACTGGCTGGCTGGAGGGCAGCTTTGCAGAGAAGGACTGGGGTCCTGGGGAACTAACTGAACAAGTCAGCAAGGTACCTTTAGGGCAGATGGTCAACAGTCTCCTGGAATGTGCTAGGAAAAGTTTTGCTACGAGGACAACTTCTGTTCAGCAGTGGTGAGGCCACGTACCAAATGCTGTGTCCAGCTGTGGCACACTGAAAAAGTCCAGCAAAGGGCCAAAGAAGATTAAAGGAGTGGGGGTATTTGTTATATGAGAAAGATTGAGACACATGGGACTGTTAAATGTGGAGAAGAGAAGGCTCTGGGGGATTTTATCAATGTGCATAGATATCTGATCAGGGAGTGTAAAGAATCACAGAATCATAGAATCCTTCAGGTTGGAAGGGACCTTTAGAAATCTAGTCCAACCCTGCCCCTGCACATGCAAGAACTGAGTGAAGTGTATGAGTCTTCTTCTTTGACCCACCCACAAACACCAAAAGCTGCTTGCAAACAGAATTCACTAATTGAAACAAAACAAAAACAGAACAAAAACTCTGTGAAACACCAAGCTAGAAGATAATATTCCTAAGTGGCCTGAATTATTAAATTTATAGCTCTCATCCATTTAGTCAACTTGTCATCTACAGAAACTTGCGTCCACCTACTGCGCATATATAAAGTGATTCAAACAGCAAACACATAAAACCAATGTTTCCCAGACACTTAAAACTGGGAAAAGGTATTTGGTTAAAAATCATCTACTGGTTGTATAAATGAAGATTATTTCTTTTTTCCTGCTGTGCTGTTTACTGCTGTGTGTCTGCCACTGATTATATAGAATACTAACATATGTGGCTTTTGTAAATTAAACAAAATTTAATTTAATATGAATTGCACATCAAATTATAAACTTAACACCCTCTTCATTCTCAAGCATTTTGCAAAAAAGAAAGAATAGTATTATATTCTATGTTTACATATTTAATAATTCAGGCTGTAAACATTTTATTAGAACAAATAACTCCAGTATCCACCTCAGCCAGTTTAGGGCAAACAAATTGTGAAGAATGAATATAGCACAGTGCTGAAATAATGAAGCGAAGATAGGAGTTCTTGCAAGGTCATGATGAGAGAGAACAGAGTATCTGTTATCTACAGAATATCCATCATGTGGAATCGAATTAGATGCACCTAATTTTCACTTTGTCAAACTTATTTCATATTCAGGTTGAAGACCAGCATGCTACCTAGGAGAGCAACTCTTCACAAGGTAGGTATTACATCTTCATTTGACAGGTTTGGGGTCAGGTAGGTCAAATCAATACTTTCGAGATCTGTCCATGGTCAAAAATGGACAAGAAAGAATCACATGATATATGAGTCTGACACTTGGGGAAAAGAACTCATTTAAAATGAGGAATTATGATAAGAAAAGACAAATGGATTTCGCTTACAATAAAGGGAACAATTGTATTTCAAGAACACATTAGAAATATCATACAGACTAACTCAGTTTGATGTAAGAAAGTGAAATTCCACTTATCACAGCTTCAAGCAGGACTCCATTTTGATCAATATGCCGAATCACAGATGGGAAAACACCTAGCCATTTGTTTGTATGGTTTAGTGTGAAAGACTCAAAAAAAAAAAAAAAAAAAAAAGCTAAATATTTTCAGATATTTGGAAAGTTCCACAGACACAGAAGGCAAAATAATAATTATAAATGTCAGCCTCCGTAGAGGAACATAAAATAATTAGGAATATACAGGCAGGTAGCACTTTTCTAGCCACTCATTTCTGTTACCTGACAAAAAGACATGGAAACATATTATTGAATAGTGGATATTCCATGTACTTGGAAACATGCTACTGGTGCATGGCCTCCCGGGAAGCAGGCTGCTTTCTCCGAACAGTTCAACGTTCCTAGCTTCATTCTAAGGACAGGTTTTTACAACACGTAGGGAGCATTTAGGTCTCTTCTACCTTTTCCTTTAGAATTAGCATTTCCATGTTTCATACAGAGCAAATGGCAGAAGAGGTCTGCAGCAGAACTTTGCAGGAACCTGATCTACTTTTCCTCCAGTTTGGGACTGCTTGTCTCTTGGGATTTGGTTTGGACTCACTTCTACCAAACACATTTGCTGGTATGCACAGGACAATTCTTTCTTTTAAAACTCCTTTCTTTCCTACTTGCATACAACAAAGATTCTTACCAGTAACCTTCAGTTCCGTTGTTCTTCGGATAAGCTTGCCTTCAAACTTCAGTTCACAGGTATAATTTCCTCCATCTTCTTCCTGAACCTCTTGTATTAAGAGAGTATTTCCCTTCTGAATTACAATGCTTCTCCACATTTTTGGCTTACATTCCTGCAGAAAAATATCAAATGCCAAAATTACGCAGCTTGTACAACAAAAAGCAGTGCTGTTTGTTCTGATTTTCGGCACTATACACAAGTAAACAACAATCTCAAAATACTTTGCAATGTATCTTGCAATTCAGACACCATGGAGATCTAAAACTAGAACTATTTGAAGACATTGCATGTAAAATTAAACCGAAATGTTTTTAAGGTACAAGAACTTCCCTTGTATCACATGTGCCATGTTTCATATGCGGTTCCCTGAAGCACTGGTGAAGTATCTTCTATTTTGCATGATGAACAATTGCCAAGATGTTTATTTTACTTTAGGACATATCATTAAAATGCACCTTCTGTTTGAAGGAAGTATAGAAAATGTCTGTTAAAAATTAGCCTGAAGGTAAATGTTACATAGTTTCAGGCTAGAACCATTTGCCAACAGAAAAAGAAAAAATCAGGAAGAATAACAGTAGTTTTGTGAGCAGGAGAATTCAGGAAGCCTGGTTTCCTCCAGTCCTGGCTCTCCTCATTGGCACCTCTGGTACCTGATGAGGTGTGAGCTTGGATTCATTGTGGGGTGCTTTGCAGCATCCCGCTCCCAAGTGGGTCCTTTCTCTGACTCTGTGTACGGTAGCGATGGCCTGCAGCGCTCTCACTTCCCCGGGCAGACTCCAGCTGTTATTTAGCAAATGTGGGATTGTGCTCGTGAAGTACAGTTCTACTGGAACAACTTTTGAAGCTGCTTGACAGCCATTAAGCGGGTGACTCGGTGAGCGCAAGAGCCCCCGCTGCCCCATCGCGAACCCTTGTGGGCAGAGCAGCCCCTGGCCCGGGCTTGGACACTTTGTGAATACTCCGGCATAGGAATATGGGCACAATGTGATCTCTGTCTCCTCAAAATCGTTCTTAAGGACAATGTATGTATTGCCTCTCAATAACTTCAACATCAAGCCTGTTCAATCTGCAAAGAAAATTGTGATTTCTCTCAAAAAGTGCGCACAGCTAACAATTCTGCAGGCTCTGGCTAGTTCTGCTGCCCAGAGCCCACACAGCGACACAATTATGGGCCAAAGAACCTTTGAATGCTGCTCTATTCCCTCTCCCGGGGTGGCAGCACAGAAAAAGCTCTTGGATTGCAAGTAACAACCTTGCACCAGCTACCGCAGGCTCAGCGACTTCAGAGATTCACGTAAAAAGTCAGCCCATCCCTACATCCAATTTTCTGTTCTTGTCTGCAACAGCAGACAAACACAATAGAACAAACAAAATAGAACAAAGTCCTCTTAAAAAACAACCACACAAGAAAGCGTGTGATTCGGGTAGATATTCTGCAAGAGAGCAAGTGATCGTAATGGAACAAACGGAATTTTTTCCACAATGTCAGTGGCTCAATTAAATTATAATAATATGGAAGAAAAAAGATGGGATGACGACCTTTGTTATAGCTGTAAGTCATAATTGGGTCTTACACCTGAACTTGAGTTAATATTGACGGAAGAGAAAAACAGAACCTAAATCCTTGTCTGCTGTGCTGAAAGGAATCACAGCTTATTTTTGTTACTACACTAAACTAACAGGGCTCGAGAGCTGGAAAATGCCATTATGCCCCTTCTGATTTGCACTCAATTTTTAGTTCTGTTCAAAGGTGAGATGTTACTGCATCAACCACCTACTTGGAGTAACTGAATCCAGGCAAAGACTGTGATGTTACTCTATTGAATCTTTATTTAGAAGGAAGAAAATGCCCAAAATACACAAAGCAAGTATATTTCTGACGTGCATCCTTTCAGTACAGCACTGGAAGATCCTATATGCTACCACCTTTATATGTGGTATTTATTTTGTAAACTATGGGAGTGAAGAGATTAGAAATCCTCACTTTTATATGGTTTATATTTTATATTCTACTTGTTTGCAATAAGGAGGTCAAAATCCTTACCTCTCTGGAGATAAATGATTTAGCACAAAAACAAGGCTTGTGCATAGTGCAGTTTTCTAGTGAGGAATGGCTCTATGGGAACTGCTATGTCACTGACTTCCCAATTGTTTCTTTTCTTGCCCACTTAAAACAGTTCGTATTAAAAATGATTTATAAGTCTATGTCTCTCTCAGATTTTAGCTAATTCTTTCCCCTATTGACTACACAGACTTTCAAAAAATATGCTGAAAATGCCCATTTAATTCTGCTTGTTTTTTCAGACTAGTTCAGCCTATAAACCAAAAGCCAAGAAGAAGGAAGAATCACAGCTATTTTTATTTTAAGCAACAAAAAGATTTTCTTACCAGAGGTCTGCTAATTTCTGTAAACCAGTAAGTGCCAGGGGATATGATGGCTGCTCATTGAGCCTCTGCTTTTGCACCATGTTCAGCTGATGGGAGAATCTGAAAGTTTCCTTTTACTAGCCTATTCTCCTCAGACATCTTAAATAGTTCTTTTATTTTTTCCCAATAACTGGGTTGTTCATTATGATGCTTTTTTTTCTCTTCCTTGACATTTTAAGTGGCAGCACCTCAGCAACTCTAGTTTTTGTAGGGTTGATAACAACTACCTGTCCTTCACCTGCCATTCTGACAGCTTTCACAGCCCTTCCTTCAACCCAGTAATAGCAAAGAGGTGGTGGAAATGGATTAAGGCTCTGCTTTCTAGATGTAATACACGTTTTTTCCCCACTGCCAGTTGATTTTTCATGAAACTGCTCTTACTCTTAAATCCTGTTCATTCAATCTTGCCTTGACACATACATTTATTCCAAAAAAACTCCTTATTCTTCTTGTCAAAACACTTCTAACAGCCCTAATGGATCTGCGTGAACAATAATAATGGCATTAATTGTGGAAATCTTTAAAACCAGGTATTTCATACAGTATAATTCTAGCCAGGAGTGAAATCCACACTACCGTTAAAACAAATCCTGATAGCAAATGTTTTATCACTACCTATTGGGTGTGCATGTAGAAATCTATTCATGCCTCATTATTTTAAGAGCATGTTTAACTTGCAGCTAACTTGCTCTAAATAGAGGCAATTATTGGTGCTGATTCGTTAATCCCTGCGCACAGAGAGCTCTTCCTTTTTGCGCTGCTGGCGTTAACGCGTCGCGCGATGGCAGCTCCTTGGCCCCAGGTCCTAATTCCCAGGTATCAGGGCACTGGCAGGGTCTCTCATGGCCACAAGGAGACTCTTTGCAGAATTATAAAGCAAGAAGCTCACGGACTTCCTCATATTTATTTGTCTACTATCCTATTTTGGACGACTTATGCTGTCCTACTGGATGTTCACTAAATATCCAGTGCTACAAAAAGCAACTGCCCTCCAAATGCCTCCGCAGCAGATCTGCTCGGGAAGACACCTCCATGTCCGGGGCACTGGAGAACTGAGGATCCCGGGTGCTGCAGGGAACGAGCTCGGGGCACCTCCGAAGCCAGGGCATCACCACACACCAGTCATCACCAGCTGGGACCTGTCTTTGATAATCGCCCCGCACAGCACAATCTTAAATGCTGCAGTGTGGTTTCTAGGGGTTACCATGCTATTCATCGTATTATTTTGAAATTCAAGTAATTATTTAAAACAAACTTCTACTTTTTTTTAATAGAGATGATATCCAATAACAGTTAGTAATAAGCTTCAGAGTATTTTTGAAAACCCCTTTCCAGGAAGGGGTTTCTAGGGATAACCCAGCACATATAACTCCTGCATGACATTAATATTGACACTTCAAATTACTGAGCTTCCTGACTCAAGTCTGATAACACAGGTGCTATCTAGAAACTGAACTGATAGCTCTTTATCGTTAATTAGGAATAAGGAGGTATATGTAGTAGGTTATTCCATTAACATCTCTTTTTAGTATCAAACCAGACTAAAGGTTGTCGACTTTGACTGACTTGCAGTTATCATTAAATGACAGCATCCGTGCTGCTCAATTCCAGCATGACCATGACAGCTGTCACACTCCAGGCTGGTGCCACACAGCCTGTGCGGGGAACCCAGATAACGTGTGGGTTTGGGCAACAAAGACCTTTTCTTTCCCATTTCTGGCCAGCACGAGGCATCACTGATTTGGGGTTGTACACACATATTCCTTAGACTGATTTCTACTCTGTGACAGCTGAAGATTACTCCTGACATTATTTTTGCAGCATACTCTTGCAGAATGAGATCTTCAGTGATGTGCTGTCCTGTAATGCATGGACAGATACGGCAAGAAACAGTGTAATCTCAGTTCCTTCTTTTTTGAGATTTCAGAATTAACAAAATACATGTATTTTATGCATGAACAGCACTGAAGATATCTATCCATATGCTGAGAGAAGCATCTTTAATGGCTAAAAGAAAAGCCTCTTTTATCTAACAGTGAGTTATGGCACATTTTTTTTTTTAGTATAAAGTAGAACATGTGAGACCTCAGTAAAAAAAATATAAATAGATAATAACTTCTAAAATTGTCCTTTTCTGATGCATCCTGCTCAAGAGTAAAAATTCTGTAGCTCTGCACTTTTTTTTTTTAATTGAAAATAACCATTTTCAAATAATATTATCGAGGTTGCCCAATAAAGACCTCAAAAGGATTTAACTGCTCTGCTCATTATTCCCCTTATTACCTGAACTCATCCTCATGGATTTCCTTATTCCAGCAATCTTCCAGCA